GCCTCTGTGATCATGGATGCTTTATGTGAACCGAATACGTTGGTGAAATAATAAACGTTTCGGCAGATTTCTAGATCGGTACATTTGTAAAGCAGAAAATCCCATCGTCTTGTCCACCGGATTTGAAAGAGATCATCGAAAGCTGTTGGCGTGATAATCCATTGGAAAGGCCAACATTTAAAGAACTGATCAGGAAACTGGAGAAATTTGGTGACAAATTTCGAACATCTGATCCACAAGAGCAAGCGGTGCGCATACAAATTCTTGTTTTTAATATAATTTCGTTTGTATGAATCTGGAAAACGTATGCTTTATAGGTTCACCGTTTTTTTCAAAATTCCGAAAGCTAAAAGAAGAGCTTGAAAAAGACTGATAGACGTTTGGCTTCTTTTTGTTAGTACAAAGTATATTTCTCATTCGAATGCGCCTTGTTTCCAAGCCTTCATCGATAGTGTTTACACACAAGGCAATCGACGGTTGTAAATGTATGGTAGGCAAGCAGAAGTTGCTCTGAATTTCCAGACCCCCATCCTCGAGTTTACCAGAATCTTCCCCCTTCTTTTCTCTACACGAAGCGTAATTGAGTGATCGGTTTTTCGCTGTACGGGTTTCTGAGTCATCAACACTCACTGTAGGAAACGGTTCGTCTGGCCACTGTGCCATGTTATTACCGCTGTAATTTTTTCTGGAAGCAAGGTTGTATCTAAATCCGATTTTGAATTTTGTAGCTTTTCAGTTTGTGGAAAGCAGCCTGTACACATTACGGAAAAGTATGATGGAAGAGATGTCGGCGATAGCCCGCGAAATGGCCCAAAAGGCTTCAGAATTGCAACAGCGCGAAGAAAAGCAAGCTTTTGTTATTTTTTTTCTGAGCTATTATTGGTGTTGCTGTAATAGATTCCAGTTGCTGTGAATCAGTTTCGACTCGAAACTGTAAGGCAGGGAACAAGAAGCCTATTTCGAGCCTGCTGGCTTGCAGTATTGCTGCGATGCAAGAATAAGCTAATCGGTATCATATCGGGTCCTGTTCTATCTGCTCATTTGTC